CAACCAGCAGAGTCATTTCAGTGACAATAGCACTAGACTGCCATAGGTTTTACATTATTTAACTGCTGCAGCACATATCCCTAGTCCTATCCTCTTTGTCAGAGTAGAATTTGGCTAATAAGCAACTTGCATATTGGGCATACATTGGTCAAAAAACAGATTGAGTGGGCAAAATAGTCAAATCTCTGACAATTTTGAGCCTTAATGATTCCTTTTATAACATCATTACAAGGTAGCTAGCTCTATTAATACCAAAGGTCTTATGTTTCATACATGGCAATGTGAGAGGGAAGCTGGTCACTTGAAATTAAGTGTGCTAGTGCCTTTATTAGGTACTCAAAGTGTAGAGGGGAAAAGAGCTGAAAAGGAATGGACAGTCCAAAGAAATACAGGATAAGACTAGGAAAAAACATATCCCAAAACAGAAGCATACTTAAGGAACCAAATTGCCAATTAACAGTAAATAGCCAATGAGGAACGTGTATGGAAGAATGTAGGGCTGTATGCAGAATTAAGGGGCAATACCGCAACAAAGCTTTATTAATGGAGAATTCCAAGGTATTTAGGCTCCTAAATCCAACCTAGGAACTTAAACTCCCACTCAGTTCTACAGGAAATTAGGCACCTCCATATGTCAGTGGATTCAAGCTCAAGAACCATTACCGCAATGCATCAGTATACATGCCTCTGGTGCCTTAGGCACTCTTAGGCAACCATAAAATATTTCCAAGAAACCCCTGATGCACCAGTGACTAAGAACAAACCTCCCACTCTACCATTAATATGCTGAATGTTCTACACATAGGACCACTTAATGAGACTCAGTAAAAGCATGAGAAGAGCAGTTGCAGAAATGCAGACTATGAGGAAGTGAAGTTACGCGCACTTGCTTATCCTGAACCTACCTAGAGGTTCAGAAATTTCATCTGTAAAGCTACCAGCCTTTCTTCACACACAATTATCATGTACTATTTGTAATACCATAGAACCTACAAGCTCATACTATTCCGTAACACAACCTACAGGTCATGGACCAGTCCTACATAGACCCAAACGCCAAAACCAGTATGCGTACACATCTGATGAAAGTCGTACCATCCACATATTAGCCACAATTTTTTTTAAATGTATTGGCTCAGAGTAAATCTAATTACTACCATCTATTGTAGAATTATCATAAACACATTCTTCATATTACAGTAGAAAGGAGAAATACACATTGAACCACAGTGAGGAATACAGTATTACATATACATTACATATACATTACATATAAGCAGGAGAAACCCCTTCCTTGTATGCAGTATTAAATATAGCTAGCTAGATTAAAATGAATTCCATGTAACTGACTTACAAAAACTGAAGAAATGGGAACCACTCCAGTAGTTATAATCTTAGAGAGCTTTCTGTTACAAACATGAGAATACGTTTTGTAAATCATTTATAACACCTTCCACTCAGAACCCCTGTGTAGATACTTCACTGTTACCACACATAAAAATTAAAATAACTTATGAGAAAGCAACAAAGGAAATTTATCAGGCAACCTGATACTAATATCTTCATAGGGTAAACTATAGTTTAATGGAGATATTCTCAGCAATACATGTGTTATATTTTTTTCCTTCATATTTGGATTCTATTTCATTTACATCATGACATACATTGCAAGTCTAAGAACTGCATCGTTTGTACATGACCTCTACTCTCTTTCAGACCCCCTCAGTTACACAGTTGTCCAGGTTAAAGAAAAATCAAGTGGTTTGTCTGAAACAAACCACATATATTGTGTTCGTTAGCTGAAGTCACAATAAAAATCAAAATATCAAAACCAACCCAAAAACCAGTGCTTGCTTTACTTTACCTTTTTTTCAGAATAAACTCGCATAATTAAGCTTTCCACTTTTCCAAGTAGCTGACTATGTATTCCTGCACAGCAGGAGGTTTTCTCCACAACCATATTGACTTGGACAATAAACAAAGCAGAAATCCCTGACTGGAATTTACAGCTAAATTTAACCATGCATATTGTTAGTAAAATTTGCATATCTGTCTTTCAACATTAAGAAAAAAATAAAAGTTGAAATTCAATGAATTTGGGCACTGCAGTGCTTTGCAAGAAAAAAAAAAAGATTTAATTTGTAATTTCCATATTTATTGAGGATGTATGTCAAAGGAAATCTGTGTAAAAAAATCCTGGTGCTGCCTTGATGAGATCTGAAAGATGACAGCATACTAATAGTAAAGGAGCTTCTCTTAACAAAGATGGCTTAAACAGTACCCGTAAAATTCTGACGAAGGGCCACTGGATTCTAGAAAACATTTCCAGGTTCTCTTACCTCTCTGTCCTTCAACCACAAAATACATAGAAGCAATTGACATGTTTTGAAGATACATCACCCAGCTTTTCCCGTCTGTGTCGACTTTCTCCATAAAACATCAACAGATCAGTCAGCACTGGCTTCTTACAACTGAAGATGGCAGAAACTTCCACTGATACCTTTTCATTGATTTTTTTGTCACACCACTGCATCACCACTAACACTCCAAAGCCATGAGTCATCAGTCGCAAATATTCACCTTCTGTTTTCTGACTTTTATGTCTCTTTTCACAGCATCCTGGACACCTGGATGTCTTAGAAATTTCATTTAAAGGAATTAGGGTTTTCCATAACTTTAAAATTAAGTTACTTCACCTGGGTCTGCCTACCCCCAAAAACGAGGTATTTGGATGCAATTGTGCCAGCACAAAATGTTTTAGATCAACACAAATATTTCCATAATGAAGATAGAACATCAAATTACTTTGATGTACTTTTCCAGTATAAAAGTTGGAGGTATTCCAATGTATTCCAGGGATTATACTGTTGGTTTGATGGGCTGGGGTTTTGGGTTGGGTTTTTTGTTGTTGTTTTTTTTTTTCTTTCATTATTATTATTGGGTTTTTTGTTTTTTTTTTTTTCAACTGAAGTAGTGAATTTTCATCAGTAAAGCTCTCATTAAATTATGAGCATGCTCACAATACCACAGTGTGTACTTTATGGCTTTCCATACTTGCACTTGCTCTGGGCAGGATTTCAAGGGTGCCTATAACCTATCCTTAGGTTTTTAGAGCTTGGCTAGTACTCAGCTGGAGGATGGAGAAGAAATAAATTAGCAAAGTGAGGAACTTAGTTATCACTTTAAGACATCAACAACAGTTGACTGTGTAGATAAGTGGCCCAGTCTTTCTTTTCTTAGGTTTCAGATGAAACAAACACAATCATTAACACTGAAACAAGATTTCTAACACCCCAGTGAGATGCACAGATTAGCTCACACCTCTCAGAGTATTTCTAGCATACCTTGTGGACTTGGACAGGAGATCTCTGAATCATGCTCCTGAGTTTTTCCTGCAAATATAACCACAAGTTGTTTCTTTTCTAATAAATGAGCCATGCTGGGAGAGAAGTGCACTGCAACCACCAACCCTAGAATTCAGGCTATGGCTATGAACAGCAGCTTTCTATCATCACAAGGTCTAACTGAGGTTGGTGAGACTCTGTAACATAGTATGTGGCTCCCTAGAGAGTACCTCCATGTGAGATACAGGCATTGCATGGTTACATTAGATTTCTTGCACAATGTTGCATTCAGCATTGGAGGAGTAATTTTATTCTGCAAGAGTACAATAAAAACTAAGTAAATAACCTCAGTGATACAGAGCATTTACCTGGAAGTCACCAATCAACCATATGCATTCTGGTCCAATCATAACAAACCAAAAGACTAGAAGAAAATATGACTTCCAGTGAGGTAACCACAAGATGCTGAGAGCTCACCAGGATGCGTTCATGACATTGAAGTCAATGGGTGTCAAGGCCCACAGTTCTCCAAATACAAATTGCTGAGTAGGAAACCAAGCCAGTAGTTAAACTTTTCAGAATCAAACACTGAAATTAATGAGTTAAAGATTAATTCACTCACAGGCTGTGTGTACATGGTCACCTCATGGGGCCATCACCAGGAAGACAAGAGATCTTCTTACAACTGACTCTACTAGAGGCTAATTAACAGATATGCTGACTGTAAATAAAAGCAGGAGGTGGTAAACAGAAATGAATAGGAAGTTTGATGGGGCTCCCAACTGATGCTGTGTGTCAATAAACATCAGCTGAAACTTGGATAATGCTTTTATACTCTCTTAAGGAAATCATTATTATCATACTATTCTGTAACACAACCTAAACTCATCTCCATGTATCATACCAGGGAAGATCTTTTTGATCAACTCTACATTCTTTAATTACAAAACCAAGCATTTTGAAGTTATTTTGTTTTACATATTGAATGAAGCAGCTTATTTTAAAGGTCAAATTATGATATTCAGATTTACTATCCATAAAACAACTATTTCTTATGTTCCAATCTAAATTAGTGACCCTTGTAAAAATACTGTTTCAAAAACACCAGTGAGACAGCACAAACAGCTATATAAAACAGAGAAGAGACTAATACATACAACGAAAATTAGGCTTTTCAAGCACATGCACACTTTTTCAGTTTACCATCATAATTTCCTAAACCTGTAGAAGACACTTAACTCTCTGGCTTTTGGCATGAGATTTATTGTACGTATTTTTCCATAGCATTTTCCTTCAGTTACTCTTTCACAGGTTTTCTGTCAATAAAGGGATACCTGTAAGATAAACTATTTTGATAGTACTGAACATTGAAAAGATGGTGATACTCATCCATTCACTACCCCACACTCCCAGCAGTTAACTCCGAATGCAAGTTGGGTTTTGTTTATTGCTTCCTCATCCTCTCTCCCATTTAAAGACCTGATTTGACAAAACTTTTCCCAAGCAAGCAGGCACTTTAAAGTAACCAGGATCACTGACATAAGGATAGACTATTTTGCATGAAAGATTTTACAGATGTAATCTTCTCTTTTCCTTGAAGTTTAAGTAGTTACTACCTACTACTTACAGAGAAAAAATTTTATAGTCTCAGTCCAGTTACTTGTGAACACATATTTATTTCACACCCAATTACTTCTCACAATTCTTCCAGTTTCTGGAGTGGGCAGATTTGGAAACTCAACTTGCTTCTCACTTCCTCTGAAAAGAGAATTAAGATTCTGATTAAGACATACTGATGATGTGAGAGAGGTTGTACTACTCTTGCTATTCTTGATACACTTTAGAGACACAATTACAATCTCACTTCACAAAATTTCTAAGTTCTTTTTAAAAGAATTTACATCATTTTACTGCATCTTTAGGAAAACACAGACGACAGAATTTTTTTTGCTACTTTTTCCAACTCATGAATTCTATCTAATGTACTAAAATTTCTTCCTTCTATAAGGATTACTTGAGGTTAAGCTAACTGACTGTGTACCATTATACTTCAAAAAGTATTTGTATTCCACACATACACAGCTGGAAAATGGTACCATAGGAGCTCACTCCTACACTTTCCTTTCTTTCTCCTCTTTCCCGACACAATTTTGGTACTAGAATGATGAATCTCTTTCTCAACAATGCTCAAACTATTTCTTCCGTTCAAAAATTGTCTGGCTATTATCTTTTCTTGCAAATATTTATTTTAAAGAATTCTAAAATAATAACAGGGAAGAGGGGAATTACTGTTCATCAATGTACTATAATTCAATTCTGCTGACAGAAATGTGAAGTAAAAATGTATACCCTGTCAGGAAAAGAAATAAAAGAGACCCCATCTATTTTGGTCAATATAACTACCATGCAGACTTAAGTACACAGGACTATAACTAGATATATCTATTCTGAGGTAATCAGAACACTTCTGAAGATTTTATTTAAAATATAGAAAAAATTAGCTGCTGCCTTAAAAGCTAAGCACATGATCATTTACGGATTTAATCATTAATGCCTGTGAAGGCTAAAAAAGCATAGTATTGCTTAGCAGTCATGAAGCAATATTAAAGTGCCATGAAAACAAAGTTAAAAATGTCTGGAAAGATATTTCTGTAGAAGTGCTAAGATGCAAACAAGTAATAAAGAAGAACAGTCAACTTTTGCTTAAGAAACACCACATGCTGCCAGTTGCTGATAGAATCTGGCTACAAGCTGCATTCTAACACTGAACTAATGACAGAACATAACACATACTAAAACTAATGTAGGTCATATTAACCATTTTCCTCCCTGAATTTCACTGTTCTCTTTGTTTTCTCTTCTTGTCGTAATACAAAGCCCAGTGAACACTGCAGGAGTCCTACACTAATGCTCTACCCTCATACTTTGGAAGAACACCCAAAAAGGCTCACAGTTACAGTTAAGACATATTTGTAGCAAATTCTTACTGCTATAGGAAGAAATTAAAGAGAAATGGAAGCTGCAAAAGACAAAAAACAAACAAACAAACAAAACAGGCCAACAAACCAACACAAAACAAACAAAACCCAAACAACAACAAAAAACCCCACAACAACAAAACCTAACAAAAAAAAATCAACAGAAAGCCTGAGACTCACAACTTATAAGTCACAACTTATTCAGATGCAATTCTCTATGCCCATGCTTGTATCTTTTATGAATGGCTTACACTTTTCTTGGAGGAAGGAATTTCATTTATCAGAAATTAATTGCTGAATTCTAGATTGCCAAAGCCCATACCTACTCATCTATCAGTGTACTTCTCCTTACCCAAGGATGGCTATGCCAGTTCAGATCAAAGGTCTGCTTAGCTCAGTATGCCGTTTCCAAGAGCAGCCACAAGTCAGAGTCAAAAGAAGAGAGCATGAGCAAAGAAATCAAATGCAGCATTTTCCCAGAATAACTTTCCAGCTTCCCATTATATTCAACTCAGGAATTCCTCAGACTGATGTGATTTATCTGTTTAGACTGCCCAATGGGTCTTCCCTTTCAAGCACTTAGCCCATTACCCCTTAAACTCATGTAACCTGTTTGCATCCACAACATCCCCAAAAGCAAGTCTACTTTGGAAAAGGAACTGTATCGCAGCAATGCTATGTTTTGTGCATATTCAGTGTTCAGTGAATAGAGCTACTAACATTTGCTTATTAAAACCCAGCCAAAATAAAAAAAAAAGCAAGATTGATGCACCCCTGGAAAGAAACTTTGATTTTGCACATATCCCAGCAAGTTGCGTCCAGTGGGAACTAGCATTCTGAGCACAGTAAAATGCTGCAAAAGCAAGAATTACAACAAGGTTGAATATAGCTGGAAAAGCAGGCAGATGTCATGAGTGAAAAAACAGATACCCTAACAAAAGCAGCAAGAAACCTCTGTGAGCCTCCCTCAGTCCAAAAACTGAATTTTGATCCAAGAAGGTTAAATATAGGGCCGCTTGAAAATTTTCCACTGCATCTATTTTCGATGGGAAATGAGGCTTTCAGCTAAACACTTTTTGGTTGGATTTTTTTTATTTCTTGGCATGCCTAAGTATGTGCTTCTGCAAACATACTTTCCTTACCAAAAAGCCAAACTTACAAACCAAATATTTTGATTGAAAACAAAAAAATGGTATTAAGAAATGCCAGTGTAGCATCTCACTAAATCTGTGGCTTACCTGCTTTATGTGGCAGATCTCCTCTATCAACTAGACTTACCATATAAGTGACAACTCCAATAACAGATAACTTTGAGGTATTCCCTACTTCCAGCGCTCCCTTCAAAGAGGAAAGATCATGGCACAGTGTCAAAGGTGGCAGGCAGCTTCAGCCTTGCAGAATAGGACCAGCAGGCATCCAAGTTATAATGTCAGAGCTTTCAAAACAGTAAGTTTCAGTTTTCAGACAAAGCCATCCAGTCTCTGGAATTCTGCTAAAGCATGTAGCTTTTCCTGGAAATTTAAGACAAAAATGAAAAAAGTTTAGTATTTTTTATCAAAAAATTCATGCAGGAAATGTCATGGGTCAAGCAAGGTCTTATTTGTTAACCTGCAGATTTAAACCTAGCACCTAGATCCATCCAAACATGAATAAAAAACTTTAAACAGCAGTAAAACATTTTAAGTTTTCCATAGCAGTCCTGTTAGGAGGACTGTTCAAAAGCCAAGGAGCTAAAACAAATACAAAACAAGGACTTGTTAAATGGGATAACTTAACGTATGAGCCCTAAGTTACAAAAGACCAACCAGCCTAACATACAAAAGCAAAGGATGAAGATAAGATTAGACCCATAGAATGGTTTGGGTTGGAAGAGACCTTAAAGATCACCTAGTTCTAATCCCCTTGCCATGGCCAGGGACACCTTCCACTAGACCAGATTGCTCAAAGACCCATCCAACCTAGCCCTGAATACTTCCAGGGATGGGGCAGCCACAGCTTCTCTGGATTCAAACAATGTCTACACTTACTAGGTGAGAAATACATAATATAAAAAAAAAAAAATTGTACAGAAAAATCAGCAAACTGGCAAGAAAATGTGACATTCTTTTTATTATTCCATTTCAGGACTCTCTAATTCAGTGAATTAATCAGAAGTAACAAATTTCATAAGGCTAATGCAATAAAAACTGACAGTAACAGCTATCCCATTTTGGCTGTTATCACCCACCTTCTTAGAACCTCACAATCCACAGGAAGAACTGAAAGCCTCTCATCCAGAAACAGCCCTGAACAGATCAAGACAGAGAAGCAACCAACTAATACTACGAGGGACTATAGTTAGAATGTTAGAACTAAATTTCTAATATCCATCTCTTCCCTTGTGGCTGTTTCCTGACAATACGTTGCCCCACACACACACCACAAAGGCAAAATAAATTTATGAATAAAAGAAATAGAAGACAAGAAATCAATTGAGAGTCCACCTTTTGTAACACTGTTGTAAGACCACAAAAGACAACTACAAAAAATCTCATACCGGTGGGATACTGTTTTCTTTCCCCCCACCACATACACACAGGACTATTACTGCATCATTAGCACCAACTAAGAACCAAGAAAATTCAAAGGAACTGGCAAAGGAATATCCTTATTAAAAACTCAGTGGGTAAAATGAAAGAAAGACATTTTGCTGTGAGTGAAATTCCTCTCAACACTTTGCTTTTCAATCACGCCATTCTTTTACTAAAACAAAACCAGAGAATGGTTTTTAAGAGTGAGTTTCTGTGGAGACCAGGCACCTGAGAGTTCCCTGTAAGTAGTCCCAAGGACTGCCTAATGCCGATTCACTGCACAGAGTTAACATCTTCCACTGTCTAATGTTATAAAGTAAAAAGTGCTAACACGACTTGTCATTCTTGAGGCCAATTTACTCATCAAAATTAGCACAAGCCCAAGCCTGCTGTCCTTGTTCATATTTGGAATCATCAGCCACTTACGTGTTGTCCCAGCAAAATTAGCACAGTGAAGGATTAGTCAGGATCTCACCCTAGAGATAAAAAAATTGTTTAGAGTAAGTGAAATACAAAGAATAAATATTCAAAATGAGTGATGAAAGATACGTTTGTTATTTCCATTTTAATTCCAGGGCAATGAGTAATTTCAGTAAGAATTTCTGAGTGTGATTCTTATCATTTAGCATTTTTAAAATTACTACTGTGCATCCTCCATCCAAAGTTGGAAACTGTGAAACTTTAAAAAATGTCCACTTCAAACATGTATGCAAAACATTATTCCCTAAATAATATTGTTCAAGGATTTAATGACACACGCTCCTCTTCAAATCAGTTATACAATGTTGCTCTTTCTCATATCTGGGTTTTATCCTTATCCATGCCTTTCAACACAAAGTGTCATTTTTTCTTCAGTTCACTTCTTACTCATAAGTGCATCACCTCATTAATTTCTCAGTTAATTTACAGCGTGTGAGAGGGCATACACACAAGTTAATGTCTGCATATACTTTACACCAAAGTTAGTAAGTCAAAGGGGAAAAGATCTACACTGCCTAATCTTGTCTCTGCATCAACTCAGATAGCCCAGACAAGCCTACTGTGGATGGGGCATCCACAGCCTTTCATATCTGCTTCTTTCATGTCCACTTCCTGTATCAGCTAGTAGAGAGCTACGCACAGGCTGGGCTAGATCTCTTGCCAGGAGTAATGATGGTGCACATGCCATTTGAGAATATGGGACCATTGCGGGCATTTTGATGAAGCACGGACAGAGAATCACAAATATGAGTGCAGAAGTCACTGGTGTGCTTGAAGCCCGGACAAGCTTTGACTTCTAGGACAGAGTACTGCACCAAACCTGGCCTTGTCAGCCTGGATCCACATAAACTTCCAGAAATTCGAAAGTGCATTTACATACTAATGTTCTAGCAGTTGTCAGAACATAAATTAATGGTTACCTGGGCAATCAGAGGAAGACAACACAACTCACTACATCCAAACATACTTAACATGGTTAGCAACTGCTGATAGTTGCATTATTCTCCAAATACCAAGACAATGAATCAACAGACATCAATGAATCAATGAATCAACAGACAGTTTAACCCAGGACCCATCTTCATGCTTTATCATGTGTGAAACATCACACCATGAGATATTACAATCTGTAGCACAGGTAGATTATTAATAAATCTTGATAAATAATGGGAAGGGGAAATATTAAGGAAGATGAATAACACTGCCCTCAAGAATACTTATTTTTTTCATAATCCTTACAATATATATCCACTTGAATTCCTTCTCCCTGCACTGCTTCACTAATGAAAAATGAAGCAATATACAATACATTGCAGGCCCATCATCAACTGCAGAGTATGGAAGAATATAGGTAAGCCCTTTGCAACACAATGATCCTATGTTGCCCTCATGTTAAACTGCTGTTCTCACTGACTTGCTAATGATCATTCTGCTGCTTGAGCTGCTTCTCTAGTAAAGCCTACACATCCAAAGCAGGCCCAGGAAGAAGTCTCATCTTGGTCTGCTCTTACATTCAGCAGAAAATGTCCCAGTCACATTCAGGGCCACAACCTGCAGCTTCACTGTTTGGGCAATCCTCAGAACATAACACTGATAAATCACATTCTTGTTGCCCTTTATGGTACACCGAGAGCAAAGTAGTCTTTCAGCAGTTACTCCTTCTTCTCTGCCACTTGCTCACTGCATTCCAGAAGTAACTACTGCAGCAGACTGTATTCAGCCTGTTTCTTTTTGCCTAAAGGCTCTCTCACATCTCACGGACCAACAGTATCACAGTAGTGTACCCATCCACAATCAGAGCTGACATCCCTGAAAAGATGTAAGCAGAATGTTGTTCTTGTCTACAAGAAGATCTTACGAATCACAACAAAATATAGACTGCCTCAGAAGATGTGTCACTGCCTTTTTTGTGTGTGTGTGAAAGGAAAAACCTCTATCAAAACATAAGAAATATATGCACACTGTACTCTCCCATGCTTACATCTCTGCAGGTTCACAGTGCTGGATTTCTACTCACAATTTCTGTTTTGCAGACTTGCAGAAGTACAAATCAACATGTTCATTCCCATACTTGGGGTGCCCATCATGTTGCTCAGTTCTGGACTATATGAGGCATGCAAGAAAAAAAAGGATGGATTGGAAAAAAAAAATTCTCTTACTTTTAATTGGTATTTTTTTGGTAAAAGTTGAAAATTGCAAGATGCCACAACTCCACCTTTCATTACTAACTTGCCTGTAAAAATACTCTTTCTTCGTGCTCCCATCTACCCTTGTAATCAAAAAGTTACACAGTTCCTAGTTTCATGGTGGTGTTCAATGCACTACCCATGCAAAATTCCCTGTGTTTTGTAGCTAACCAGTATTTGTATAGTCAGTCTCTGGATAAAGTTCTGTGGCCTGCAACAGGGAAGAGATCAGCATAAACAGCCCCTTCTGTGTTTAACCCATAAAATTACTGCCTTCAGTCAAGGCTTCATTCTATCAAGATTATTTGAACAATTTCCATGGACTAAGTTCTTCTTTTCACACATTTTAATAAAAGCACCATCCATTGACGTATCCAATGCATTCAATGCCCCACTAAAATTTACTGGAGAACCTGAGGAAGTAAAAAGACATTTTTCAACCTTATAAGCTAAATATCTGTATTTTTAAAGACATTAAATACCATTTTAAATCCTAGATTTTCCCATACTAGTTTTATTCCCATGTTAAAAAAAAAAAAAAAAAAAGAAAACAGTCAAGAGGCAATTTACTAAACCTGAACTAAAATGCCCTATTGCTATTACCTGGTTTGGTGTGATCCATATAATCCTGAATACAAAGTCTTTGATGCACACAAAAAATAAGCATATGTTAGAGGGGCCAGTGGTAAACCTATTGTTTGAATAAAACAGGCCTGAATATCTGTGCCAATAAAGACATGTAGAAGTGTTACCTACTTGTTGTCAAATCTATAGGTTTGCAAAAGGTTGTAGTATCTGGAACATTCTTGCTGGCTTTCTATTTCTGCATGGTTTGATGACTGGACATCTGTTTTGAAATGCCTGCAAAAAGTGCTGTAAAGTAATATGTATTGCTATAGCAAAGCTCAGCCTTTCAGAAAAAGCAGCTGCTGCATTTTCTGGAATAAACACACAAACTATTTAAAGGCTTGACCCTTGATTCCTTCATCTCAGAATTTCTACTGACTTCAGGGAAGTCTCAGTATATGAGGAACACACAATGGGCTGTGATTCCACAGCCTTGAGCTATCCAGGCTGCTTTTGAGTCACATAAAGTAAAGCAGCCTCCCCACAGCTGCGCTGTTTTATATACCTGAAACACAAATTCAAAAATTATCATGGTCTTATTAGGGAATTTGGATATGCACTCACTACTAAATTGCCATAAAGCTCCATATTACCAATTTGTCATTACTGAACAGCTTCAAGACACACAGTATCTTTGTGCTGCATCTCTTTTCATACTGCAAGAAAATAAGAGCATATGAACGACAGTAAAAATGAAGCCAAGTGTACTGTTGAGAAACTTGGTATTCTCTTATTTCTATGAGAGTTATAGTGTAATTCTAAACTGTAGCATTCAGCATGTCTCCTGAGTTTCCTTGCTGAAATATTGCAATGGAAATTTTACAGCATCTGTGTTGCTTTTGGAAGCCATCACCTCACATCTGCTGTCTCTGTAGTGTACAGCTTAAGTTCAGCGTAAAAAGGTACTTTGTAATAGGCAACAGGAATCCTGACAGAGCAGTAATTTACAGACTCACCCAGCTCTCATGACTACACTCGCTCGTTTTTACATCCTGTAGACATTTTTTTTAACAAGGTTCTCTCCAAGCAGGCACCGGCTTAGCAGTCACTTCTTAAAATGGAGCATCACATCTAGGACTGGAAAGAGACTTTTCAAACCTCTATCAGTCATGGGGATCTCAGCCAGACGAGAAATTTTTCATTCCCTTTTCTTCACGGGGCACTGTTGGACCTCCTAATGCTTTTCAGTAGGGTATAAAATAAACTAGCACTAAAATAATACTCTGCTACTTCGGGGAAAGTTCTGCTTTTGACCAGAAGTGTGTGTATCTTCGGGCCTGACCCCACTGCCTGGATCGCGGAGTCCGGACAGGCACGGCCACGTCCCCAGAGCCCTTCTCAATCACTCCTGAAAGCGAAACCCCCCTCCCCCGGGGTGGCCGCGGGGGGGGGGGGGTCGGCAGAGGAGTTTATCGCCCCATTATTGCCCATTTCCTCCTATCGGCGTAATCCGTGTGCTCGTTTAAAAGGGGACGGGAGCGGAGGGGATCCTGTTAGCACAGCCAACAAACTCGGGATTGCTTTTTTGTTCTGCCTGATGTGTTTAACTCCCTCCTGGCGCCCCCTCCATCGCTCCCCGCCCCGGCTCCGCTTCTCCCGGTTTAAACCCGGCGAATCACATTTCACGCTGCCGAAAGCCGAGACCCGCCGCGCCGCCACCCCGCCGGCTCCCCGAGCGGCGTGTTCCCGAGATTACAGTCATTACAGCCCCAGCGTGAGCTCCACACAAGCGCGAAGCGCAACAGCGCGTCAATTAACAAACAAACGCCCTGTCCTGGGAGGACGACAACCCCCCGAGACGGCCCCGCCGCGCTCCAAGCCCGCGCCCGCCGCCAGCCGCCGCTCCGTTAAGGTGGTCCGAAGAGCAGCAGAAACCACCCCCCCTTTTCGTTCCCGGGAGCGGGAGGGGAAAGCAGCGGGTCCCCTCCGGGCAGTCCCCGGCCCCGGGAGCGACGGACTCCACAGGAGGCCGGCGGAGGCACCGCGCTGCGCCTCAGCAGGGAGCGGACCGGCTGCTCCCACAGAAGCCGGCCCCGGGGGGTCGCGAGGGCTCGGGGAGCCGCGGCCCGGCCGCAACCGGCACCGCAGCTCCGGCTGGGCTGCGAGTCACTGCCCACGGGTGCGCCCGCTGCAGGCCGCCGGGCGGGACCTCGGTGTCCCCCTTGACTGGAGTGGCACCAGCTCGGGCGCACCCCTGCGGCGGAAGCTGTGCGGCGGCCCCGCGGGGAGCGTTCACCTGCCGGGGCGGGCGCTACTCCCCGCGGTCTCTCGGTAACTTCATCCCGGCCGCTCCCCGGTGCGCACACAGCGGTGCTGCGGCTGCACGGCAGCGCGCGTGGGGATGTGAGTGTGTACGAGCGAGGTGAACCGTCTTACGCGCAAAGCGCTCGTTTACTCGCCGCTGCCTGAGCTATAGGGTCCCCAGTTGTATCAACCCTCTGCCTCCTCCCTGCCGTTGAGCCTTAGCCGTTACCCCCATACCCAAACGCCAACACTGCTTTTCACACTACACGTTGAGCACGGGTGCACCGCCAGCTGCGCCGCGGCTGGCTCCGGAGCCGCGGGAAGCCCGGGTAGGCGCGGCCGGTACTGGCCAACCCGACGCTCGGTGCCACCGGGCCTCGCTTCGCCACGCTCTTGCCTCCTCCAGAAGCACGTGAAGGGGCGGGAAACCCACCGCAACATTCAGACCTGAGGGGGACTAAAGTCCTGCGGGTGAGCAGGAGTTGGCACGAAACCGCTTCAGAGGAGACTCCGCGCAGCAGCTGAACTGCTGCTGCTCCTGGAGTGAACCTCGCCTGACCGGGAAGCCTTGCAAGGGACAGGAAGCTCCCTGCAGCAGGCCGACCGCACCCCGCGCACCCGACGGGGAGCGTTTCAGCGTGCAGAACCGCTCCCTGAAACGTACGGACAAGAGCCCGGGCAACGCAGTTAAACCTCACAGCCACGTACCACGCACCCGGAGCCCCGCGGAGCACCCACCACGCCGCACTTGGGGTGCCAGCTCCACCTTAAGGAGGGCTGGGGACACCCCCCCGCCACCCGCCCGGTCCCGACTGATAGGCGGCCGAGGCAGGGAGGCGGGGCCCGGCGGTGCTTTCTATAAATATTCATGAGAGCGCGACGGCCGGAGTGGCGCTGCCGGGGCCGGAGAGACGCAAGTTCAGTGGAGCTGCTGCAGCGCTCGCCCCGCGGATCAGGTGGCGTGATCGCGG